CTCTCTATTTTTTATTTCTCCTTTTTGCTTTTTTTCTCGAGTTTCTCAAATTTCCCATGTTTCTATTGTAGTAACCAGCAGGGCTATTCACAAAGGGCAAATAGCTTGAGCGAAATCAAAAGAAGACAGGCACGATATAGTCGTTCTGAAGTATAAACAGAAGAAGCGTTGTAGAAAAATATAAAAGTTACGAGAAGAACAACTCGTTCCTCGGTTCGGTATCCCTGTAGGACATATTGGGACCAACAAAATTGACAACGTTCTTATGCTCTCCTCATTTTTTGTAAACTTTTTAATTTTTTTCTATTTTCTATGCATATTTTTCACTATTTATTTACTTTTATTTACTCAAAACTAATTTTCCCCATACATATCGATGGTAATGATACTCACGTAAAATATGCTGAGCTGTCTGGCTTATAATGTTGTAAGCAGTATCGATATCGTTTTCGGAGGCATTCTCCGCGCAGACGCAAAATCGGATCACGAACCGGTCGTTCAGTGAGGCTGGTACCTAATTTTATGAATTTGAAAGAAAATTCAGCGGAGTTTTTCCAGTAACAAACTTTTTTTCCTTAAAAAAAACATTAAGTGAAATTAAATGAAGAGGATTCGATTTGAATCTCATGTACTTCCACTTCACTGCAGGTGCAATTCAATTCTATGAAGTAGTTTTTAGAAACGATCAAAATTTTAGAAATTCGAGAAAATCTAGCACTTTCCGATGTCATTGTACTTTTTAGAAATACCACTGGCTTACCATGTGTATTCTTCCCGAACTGTTTAGTCGTGTAAGTAATTGCTGATTTCGCTCATCGTTTCCCTGAAATTCAATGAGATTTCTACAGTCACATACAGCTTACTTTTCCTTTCTTACTCTCATTCTGAAACAGACGAGGCCCATAATTACTTCACCGACGATTTCAAACACTGGATCAGCTCGTAGCAACATTTCCATTCGTTTCGCCAGTCTAACATGCTGAAATTTGTGCGTCAGGGAGGAAGAACCTAACGCCCTATTCAGACCTTATGACATATTTTTAAAAATTTTCCTTAAAAAAATCAAAGCCAACGATTATTGTAGAATTGAAGATCTAGACGATAAAATTTGAATTTTATTACCTCCCGTATGTAATTCTGAAGACCTTCCACACCATACGAACGGATCACAAACCACAGCTTCAACGATCGAAATCGCCTGCTCAGAGGAATTCCCCAATGACGATAGTCAATCGACTTATCTAAAAAAAAAGTTTTGAACATACTTTTGCGGGAACGAAGGGTGTCTGAGCCAAATCATTTCTAGGCTTTAGAACCATTTTACGCTCGCAGACGTCAAAAAATGTCGATCCGAAATGATAAAAATGGCGCGTTTGAGAAACCCCGCCCAGTGGAGGGGTAGTTCCGCCTACTGCACCTTGACTTATTTTCATTCGTTACTTGAACGAAGGGTAATGAATGACACAATAGTATGTAAATTAATCAACATCAAAGAACTTACCCATCCAACTGTGCTGTAAGTATAGTGGATCGACGACAAGGGCTTGTGTAAGCTTGAAACGATCCTTGACCCTGAAAATCACAATTTCACATTATTATCTGGATCCCAGGCAAGATATTACTTATTACTGACCACATAGTACTGCAATCGAAGTTGACAAGCATCCATTTATTGGGATTTGTGTTGAACGACATGGCGTATTCTATCCCATTCATCAAATGACGGAATTCTGGACAGATCATTGCTGAACCGGCATAGGCGGCATCAACATGAAGCCAAAGCCTGGAATGCAGTCGATGGATTCGATCGGTACGATAGTCGACCTTCCGTAGATTCCTCCCATAACCACACAACTTACTCGTTTTCCTGACAAACTGGCCCTATCTCACTCAACATATCGAACGAACAGCATGAGGTAGTGCCCAATGTGGTGGNGCGTCAGGGAGGAAGAACCTAACGCCCTATTCAGACCTTATGACATATTTTTAAAAATTTTCCTTAAAAAAATCAAAGCCAACGATTATTGTAGAATTGAAGATCTAGACGATAAAATTTGAATTTTATTACCTCCCGTATGTAATTCTGAAGACCTTCCACACCATACGAACGGATCACAAACCACAGCTTCAACGATCGGAATCGTCTGCTCAGAGGAATTCCCCAATGACGATAGTCAATCGATTTGTCTGGAATATTTATTTGGAACCAGCTCTTGCTGGAACAAACTACGTTTGAGCTGAATAATCTCTAAACTCCGAACTCTTTATATGCTCGCAAATGGTCAAAAATGTCGATCCGAAATGACAAAGTAGCGCGTTTGAGAAACTCCGCCCAGTGGAGGGATAGCTATGCTCACCAAACCTCGACTTTACTTCTTTTGTGACTCGAACCGAGGGCAATGAATGACAGAATATTAGCTTATTATATGACATGGTGACACATTTTTACTGTATATGGTAACTGTCCAATTTGAAAGATTTCTAGCCATTCATGTACTTAAATAAGTTATGATATAAATCATTCACCAAGTTGAATAGTAAAGGAATCAGCCAGCAATGGAACTTACCCATCCAACTGTGTTGTAAATATAGTGGGTCGACGACAAGGGCTTGTGTAAGCTTGAAACGATCTTTGACCCTGAAAATTACAACTCTACTTGATTACCTGAACCCATTCAAAACATCTTCATTACTGACCACATTGTACTGCAATCAAAATTGACGAGCATCCATTTATTGGGATTTGTGTTGAACGACATGGCGTATTCTATCCCATTCATCAGATGACGGAATTCTGGACAGATCATTGCTGAACCGGCATAGGCGGCATCAACATGAAGCCAAAGCCTGGAATGCAGTCGATGGATTCGATCGGTACGATAGTCGACCTTCCGTAGATTCCTCCCATAACCACACCACTTACTCGTTTTCCTGACAAACTGGCCCTATCTCACTCAACATATCGAACGAACAGCATGAGGTAGTGCCCAGTGTGGTAGACACAAAAAATGGGATCAGACCCAAATTACGGTCTTCCTGAAAAAACATCAGCTCAAGATTACAATCTCGTTCTTCCACAGCTCGAATCGGTACGACTGTGGGCCTTCAACCTGACCACATTGGACTTGGGAGCAAATCCTATACATTCAGTGGAATCTGACTTCTCCAATCTAACCACACCTGTATGGCATTTCGAAGGGTATCTCCTCGTAGTCGGAACTTAGAATCCGTCTCCAGAATTCGTAACTTTACCATACCAATCATACAGGCCTTCTCTACCGAAGAATGAGCCTAAATCCTTAACAGTAATACCAATGATTAGAGACCAGTCATCCACTAACCTCCTTAGAGCAGTAGGCTATTAGTTTGGACAGCAGTAGACCTTCTTCCACAAAAGGGAATCGCTGACGGAGCTCTTTCATGACCTCGAAACGGGCGGCTAACAATGAGACGAAGTTACATTCCGAAGCGGAACCCTGTAAGAAAGTAAAAGGGTAAGTTAAAAATTTCTACAATCATGGCGAATTTCCAAATCTAAGTTACTTACCTGAATCACACCTCCTCCTTTCCCTCCCTCAGTGAGTGGCAAAAACTCTTTGGGAAGACCGATCATTTTCCCGAACCAGTGAAGCATTATCAATTCCAGCTCCGTAAAAGCTGGACAAGAGGCCTACAAGTTGTAAGGTTAAACGGTCCTTATCTGAACCTTCCCACTCAAACTTACCCAACTGAATCCAACACAACCCAATGCATCACTAAGTAAATTGGCAAGTATTGATGGATAGGAATTCCCAGCTGGGAAATAGGCATGGAATCTGGGATGTTGCCAGTGGGTTACACCAGGCATGATGAACTTTTCGAAATCGTCCATCACTTTCTCCCATGGTTCACCTCGTGATGGAGCTTCTGTCGGAATCAGATTCTGAAGTGATGAATCTGACCATGAACAAGGATGATGGAATGGTCACTTACTTTCAGATAACCTGGTTCAATTGCTGGTACCACACGCCTTTTCTGAATTGTTTCCATGTAGTTAGCAATATAATCCACCGTCTCCTTACCGTATCGCCGAAAATCCTGACGGCTCATGCCTGAAAAGCGAGTACGGATCCATTGAGAAAAATGTGGCCCATTCAAAAGCCTTTGGAACATTTTTCGTAACTTTTTTTTAATGTACTGATCTATAATACAACACTCAGGATCTCGCATCACTAGCATGCTCCGAAAGGCTGACAGAATAACGAAGAAGTTTTAGTGATCTTGCCCTTTATTCAGAAACGGTGGAAACTAATTTTAAGCGCAGCGCAATTTTTCTAGTTTCTTTTTCAAACTCTTTGAATCAACCTACCTTTGGTGCTCTCGGGTCTCGATGTAGGATCTTCGATTGGTGTTTCAGCGATGCTGTTTGACGGCATTGAAGGAGGCGATGGGATCGTATTAGTTGACGACGAAACTGATGGCTGTCCTGAACGGAATTGATTTCTGGAATGATCAACTTTCAAATCAATCTCGTTTACGTGAATCTCTACCAGCACTGAACCTAACTAACTGAAAATTCTGAGGAAGTACATGTAGTTTATAGTTTGCGTGAAAGGGCTTTCCGAAAGGGACGAAAGCAACCCCCTTGACTCTGTTTTATTCACATTATTGGGTTGTAACATAAGTTCGTA